CGCCTACAATTTCGCGCGCTTTGCTGCCAATGACGTCAAAGGCCGACAAGTTACCAATGGATACGGAGCCAGTTGCTCGTGACAACAACAAGATTTTTAAGTTAAAACTTGTGACCTTTCGTCCCGCCTTACTCAACTGATAATCGTAGTATCAAAAAACATGAAAGTTATCTGTGCAGGATTAAGCAAAACTGGTACGAAATCCATCGCAAAAGCCTTGCGAGTCCTTGGATTTTCAGTCTTTGACTTCCTGGAACATGTAAATATCCATCATGATGAGTGGGTCGCTATTTATCGCCGGGGAAAGACACCTGATTTCTTGTCTATGTACAAAGATGTCGACGCAGTTACCGATCTTCCAGCCGCAATTTGGTACGATGAAATCCACCAAACGTTTCCTGATGCAAAAGTAATCCTCTCCGTTCGAGATAACGAGGACGTCTGGCTCAAGAGCTGGGTAGCCCAACTTGCGTTGCTTCGTGGGGGTGGATTTTTTGGGAGGATGATTTTGAGGTATATAATACCATTTACTCAAGGCTTAGACGTGCCTTTCTTTGATGACATAGACATGGCCGCTTACGGAACTTTGAGACCTGAATCCACGGTCCTCTACAAGAAGAAATATCGGGAGCACAACGAGAGGGTACAAGCCGTTATTCCAAAAGAAAAGTTGCTGATTTTCAACGTGAAACAAGGTTGGAAACCATTGTGTGAATTTCTTGGCTGCGAGATTCCTGATCAAGAGTTTCCACGACAAAACGTTAAGGGTGAAGCGGCTAAATTGGGGAACGCTATGATGACCGATGCAATGAGAAAACTTTTTGTTATCTTTGCAGTTTTTGTTTTTCTAATAAGTGTTTTTTGTGTGATCTTTTTCTAAATGTATGCAGTGGTAGATCTGGGGGAGAATCCCAGGAGGCTTGCCCCCCCCCCCCAACTCCGTCTGATGTCTTGTATTATTGTATATCTACATCCATGCTCCTTTGGTAAGGGGAAGAGGACAACAATTATTGCAAATGAGGTCTAATTATTCTAGCAAACAAAAACACTAGTCAGATTACAACAACCTCTAAGGGGCCTTTTAAAAATGCTGACAAATTTTGCACTTAGCATGGGTTTTGACCAACCCACTCAATTCTACCAGGAGTGGGGGGGGGGGGGAGGGTTTAAAACACCAAAAAGGAATTTATTTGATTTACAAATTAAAGAGTTTTATGCAATTGCCTGCCCTTTTCTTTTACTTGGAGCAAAGCGAACATCTTTGCTCTTGCTTGCTTTCATTTTAATCTTGTTTTAACCAAGAGGGGTTGGGATTGAATGATTGGGGCAGCTGATGTTGAATCAAGCTGCNGGGGGGAGGGTTTAAAACACCAAAAAGGAATTTATTTGATTTACAAATAAAAGAGTTTTATGCAATTGCCTGCCCTTTTCTTTTACTCAGAGTAAAGTGAACATCTTCGCTCTTGTTTGTATACATTCTTGGCATGTTTTAACCATGAGGGTTTGGGTAAAGTGTTTAGGGTAGCTGATGTTAAATTATGCTGCCCCCCCCCCCATCTAAGGTTTGATTTTGATCTAAGGTTTGATTTGATGTTGTATACAAGGCATATGTGATGTCCATTTTCTGCCCTCACCTTTGAGAGACAGATTTGTCTTTGATTGTAACGGTTTATGTTTTTATAAGGTTGGAATTAAAGCAGCTTTGTTTCACAAAGCCAAATTTTTCCCATAGTATTGTTTACAGTGTATTTTTACCTCGCAAGCAGAGCTCAGCATTGATACCGCAAGTTGTAGCTTTATAGGGCTTTATACAGCAGGCATTAATTGCAATTGAAAATTTATTATTTCATTTGTATGCCAAGTATTCTATGGTAATAAATGTGTAATCTAAGTTCATAGCTTGCTCATCCATTCTTCTGGACCATGTATATGACTGGTCAGCCAGCCCTCAGTTTCTCTAAGGTCATGAGGTTGTTGAACCACCAGCAGGAACAAAAAGCCCTTTCCATGAGGCCATCTCCATGCCTTTAGGTTATTGAAGACACAAACTGCAAAGCACTGAGTCACCATGGTCAACTACCATGGTAAATATCAAATTGATTTTAGATGACAGATTACAATCACGAAAAATAATGTAAAAAGATTTTGAATTTCTTAGTGAAAATTATGCGTATTGTTTTACTATGAGAGAGTAACATGAAGCACAAAGCTCCTGCTTAATTTTCTTGCATCACTGAGGGTTTAATAACCATATTTCCACTCTTAACTCCCCCAAGGAGCTTACAGGTAAATGTAAAAAGCTTAGGTCTCACAAAGCAGTGAAGGTGTATTTTAGAAGGGGTGGGGACAGGGGGACTATGTATCTATTATGCAGAAATAATGAGAGTTTATCCAGAAGTAATGACAGATTTTTCGACATTTGTGATGAAAAACAAGATATGCTACTATAGTGAGTAATAACTGTCTTTGCAAGTATTCATTAATGTCACCTCCTCCTTCCTCCATCCATTTCTTTTTTTCTTCCTTTCTCCCTTGGTTCCTTCCTCCCTCCTTCCTTCCCTTCCTCTCTTCTTGATGCTTTGATGAAAAACTGTGTACTACAGAGTACTTGTGATCATTGCAGAAAGCAACTTCACAACACTGCTAATCAAAGCTATTACTAACCCTGGCCCTGGATGAAGACAACACTGTGATAGTAGTGTCTTGTCCAATAACCTGGCACAATGACTCCAGATGATGCAATGACTCTAACCAAGGCTAGAACCCAGGCTGCCAAATCCAACACCCAGTAGTGTACTAACCATAATGCCAGAGCTCCCTTATGATACAACAGAACTGATAAATTTTCCAATCCATGAAGTTGTTTAGCACTTTCAGTTTCTTTTTCAAATATAAAATGTCTATCGAAACAGGATAAATCTGTCTGATTGCAAATGATTACTAAAAATACTGAAATAGGCCATATTCGTATTCTCGGTGTTGGACTGGAACTAGCTTGAAATGGAGGCTTGTGCAGAGGAATATCATTAAAAAGCAATAAATGTCGTTTACATTTGAAAAGACTCCCTGCATTAGCCTCAGTTGCAAGCTAGTTCTAGTTCCGAGAATATGAATATGGCCCATTCGAAGTAGAAATGATTTCTATAGATGAGGGGAGGGGAGAGGAGTTTTCAACATAAATGTGGCAGAGGTTTTGATTGTTTTGAAACAAAAATCTTTGGAAAGCCTGCTGACTCCACTTCCTTGTTTCTAGCTAAGTCCTGATGACTGATGATTCCAGGTGCCAAAAGAATTTGAAAAGACTCCTCATCAGCTCCACCCCCCTCCTCCCCCTCTAGAAAAAAAAATTGGTTTGGCGAGTGTATTAGGGCTTATTGTAGAAAAGTGGCTGCAGAGTATCTTGGTATACAACCCTGCACTAAGGTGGTAGGTGAGTTTCAGCACTTTGTTAGGGGAGCCCCACCCCACCCACCCCACTCCAGCCACTGCCTTGGTTAGTGAGAGTTTAAATATTGATTGGGATACGATGGAGGTCGTTGTTTTTTTCCAACAAATAAAACAACGGGGTAGTATTTTGATTTGACTTTTCCCTTGCTGTCTGCATAGCTTGCGAACAGGCTCCCGGCGAGGACGGATAAAATTTTCGGCGAGCGCGAAACAGAAGAATTCGGAAAAAGCGATCGCAGTTTACAGAGCTACCCTTTCCTCGTGCCAAGTCCCCGCCGGCTAAGAAAGACAGGTGGCCCTAGGACTCAACTTGATATTCTTCTTGATATCCTTCGTTATTCTTACCCTCTTCGCACGAGGTGCTTGGAAACTTTGCGTAATGCGTGGCTAAGTTTCAAGATATGTTCCCGAACGTGCTCCAGACACAAACCTTTGATGTTGGAACCTTCTCGAGGGAAATTCGCTCACCTATTCAAGTGCCAGAAACAGCAAGCGACCTGAGGATGCAAAGTGTCGTCTTTGGCCATCCGCGGTATGTAAGCTTACATAATGATGTAACGAAAACTTTAAGCTTATGTTTTAATGCTACTTTTAAATACTTAAACGGTCGAGAACATTTTACATACTACTTGAATAAACTGTACGCAAAGTATACAGAAGCGATGACCATTGACAATGTCTTAGCTACCCTGGACATTGCAAAGCTCATGTACTGGTAAACAAAAGTAACTATAAAAATCGGTACAATATGTGTGTAAGGAGTGAAACGGGTGAAGAAATGCATGGGTGTGGGAACAGAGGAGGGGTGAAAGTAAGAGGTTGTGAGGTTGAATTGAGTTGAATTGTTTTTGTTATTGATTGCCAATATTGTTGCGTTCGACGAAGTGGAACGCAAACCTAATTTTGACCTGTGGCTTTTCAGAGTTGGTCTCCCTGTGCACGGTTCTAGGCTGAAAAAAACCACA